TTGTTACTATTCTTATCTTCGATCTCCTGTTGAGTTCGTAGGTGTTCAGAATGGTTTGATCCCTATTCAGCTGAATTCCTGAGACCAGACGAAACAGGTCTCCTACTCCTCCGCCATCTTGCTCCGCCGGGTAGTATAGACATTTTAACATTATTTGTTCCTCCAATCCCTGAACCATGGAATGTTCTTGTTCCCATTTCTTTGTGTCCTTTTCAGTTTCTTCCATAAGTGTCCTCTAGTTTTCAGAGTACAGACTTTTTACCTCTTCGGTTAGGTTTATTCCTAGGTATCTTACGGTTTTTGGTGCAATTGTAAATGGGATCGATTCCTTGATTTCTCCTTCTGCTGGCTCATTGTTGGTGTATAGAAATGCAACAGATTTCTGCACATTGATTTTATGTCTTGCAACTTTGCTGAATTCGTGTATCAGTTCTAATTATTTTTTGGTGGAGTCTTCTGGGTTTTCTACATAGAGTATCATGTCATCTGTGAATAGTGAAAGTTTGACATCTTCCTTGTTGATTTGGATGCCTTTTATTTCTTTCTGTTGTCTGATTGCTGAGGCCAGGACTGCCAGTACTATGTTGAATAGTAATGGTGGCAGAGGACATCCCTATCTTGTTCCTGACCATAGGGAAAGGCTCTCCATTTTTCCCCATTGAGGATGATAATTAGCTGTGGGTCTTTTGTATATGGCCTTTATGATGTTGAGATATGTTCCCTCTACACCTACTTTGTTAAGGATTTTTATCAAGAAAGGATGCTGTATTTTGTCAAATGTTGAGCACCTTTTCATATGCTTACTGGTTATTAGTATATATTCTTTGAAGAAGTATCTATTAAATATTTTGGCCTGTTTTTAATTGGCTTGTATCTTTTTATTGATATCCAAGACTCTTAACATTGAATATCCATTTCTTCTTGTTGGTTGCCATGAGGTTCAGGCTGGAGGTAAGGGTCTCCAGGGAAGCTGACTGTAGGCTAGCAGGCTGTTCCTGCCGCAGCTGCCCCCCACCACACCCCAGCTCTGCTGCAGCCACGTGCATCCCTGGTTTAGCGCCCCTGGGCCCGGGTCCCTTGGTACACATTTGCAGTGAAGCAGTCATGGGCAAGCATATTGTTGGCATCCTTGTAGGAATGCCTCGAGCCATCCCAGATGCATCCTGTGCTGATTTGCAGGAAGAGAAATCTCTAGTGCAGGAGAGCAGTTGATAGTGAGGATGTGGTGAGTTGTGGAGTGGGTCTGCCTTTAAGGGCCAGCGTGGCTGGGCAGGTGGCCTTGAACTTTGCAGGTGGGAGGGCCAAGGAGAAGCAGGACACATACCATAGAGGAGGGGAGAGTTATTTTCCTGTCACTGCGGACAGAGTGACTTCTGCCTTCGTAGGATTTGTTTTCCCCATTGTGAATAAATTGGGTGTGTTCACTGAGGTAAATTATAAAAACAAGAGAAAGTAGAAGAAATGAAGAAAAGAATTCTACTTGTACACACAGCTGGGTTAAAACTAGCAAGACCAAGCAAACCATAAACAAATGACAAGAAAATAAGTGAGATTAGCAGAATCCTTTTTGATGTAAATATGTACACTACTGTACCGTGTTCCTTTCTGGTTCTGACGTGGCCAGTGTCTTCTAGTGAATAAAATGCTTCCTGGAAATTTGTTCTGAAATCACGTGAGGGAGGAATCCTGTTTTGCCAAGGGAATGTGCTGGAGCACCTGTGAACAGGAGATACATTATTTGCCTATCTTATAAAATTGTAGGAGTGTTTTGTGTGGCAGTATGTGGGGGTGCGGAGCGTGGTATGGACAGGGAAGCTGGATGTAAGTTTGTCACTCCTTTGGGGGAGTCCTTGCTAGCCCAAGCAGCTCTGTTTTGTGAAGGGAAATTTGAAAGCAAGTAATACGCTTTATTTTTAGAAATGTGATTTATTGGGGCGCCTGGGTGGCTCAGTCATTAAGCGTCTGCCTTCAGCTCAGGTCTTGATCTCAGGGTCCTGGGATCGAGCCCCGCATCGGGCTCCCTGCTCCGCGGGAAGCCTGCTTCTCCCTCTCCCACTCCCCCTGCTTGTGTTCCCTCTCTCGCTGTGTCTCTCTCTTTCTCTGTCAAATAAATAAAATCTTAAAAAAAAAAAAAAAGAAATGTGTTTTATCTCATTTAAATGGACCTAACAGTTAAAATAGTGCAGGTTCTAGAATAAAGAGCATTTTGTTTTAGTTTTTCAGTCCTTTTAAAGGATTTATCTTTTGGGGGTTTTGCAATTTAGCGGTGCCGCTGGAGTCTGAACGCAGCCGATGTGGCCATGTGCCGGTGGAGCCCGAACGCAGCCCGTGTGGCCGTGTGCCGCCGGAGCCCGAACGCAGCCCCTGTGGCCGTGTGCCGCCGGAGCCCGAACGCAGCTGATGTGGCCATGTGTTTTCTTGCCGGTAGATTGCAGGTTCTTAGGTCTATGAGCAAAGGAAATGGCTAGAGGCCGCATGGGGCCCCTCCCCCTGTCTTTTTCAGAACTCTCAGGAGTACGGGTACACTTTACCTCTTGATAAAAGGACGCAGAAGGGCACTTTCTCAATACTGTGCAAATTCTGCAGGTCGTACAGTTGAGCCATATGTATTGCCTTTCTACTCTGGAAGTACAGGGGGTTAGCCTGTCCTCCTTCCCCCTGGTTCAGGGTTGTTAATGTCACCGTTTCTGGGAAATTGGCTTTCACTGTTCTGTGACTCAGGTTCACCATGGAGCCGTGAGGACCTGTGGTGAACTGTCTCTTTTATCCCAAAGTTGTTAATCTGGGGGGTGAGGCCAGGATTCCTGCCTGGGCGGGGGCTCTAACTGCCTCCTGTGTCCGGGAAGCAGGCCCCCCAGCTCTTTTGGGGGATTCTAGGCCATGGTTCACTCCCCTATCTGTCTCCCGCCTTTTTGCTTGGCCTCCCCTCTGCCAGTGGTGGGCTTAGCTTTCCCCGTTCTGGTAAGCTCCCACCCTCGCCTGCTTTCTGTCTTTCTGAGTCTTCTGTCTTTCCAAGTCTTGGTGCCGCTTCTTTTCTGCTCTGTCTCCTCTTTCGTGCCCTTGTCCTTGTTTGTAACCTTATTCTTTTACTGTCATGTTGGTAAAGTCTGGGGTGCGGGCAGAGATAAATCTACTAGGTCTTAACTTGGCTTCAAGGTGCCTCTCAAGTAGCAGCTCACTGGGAATCTTTCCTGATATCTCCCTTATTTGGAGGAGAGGCCATCTCTCCTTTGGTAACCCACGTCACTTGCTCAGCTTTGTCATGTAGCACCCCTTCACACTGGCGTTGTTGATTTCTTCCTCTCTACTTGCCCTTGAGCCCCTGGAGGGTAGGAACTGGGTCTGATTGTACCCTTCAAGCCTAGCTTAGCTTCTGGTCAGTGGTAAGCACTGGTTGATGTTCACTGGGTAAAGTAAATGTGTATCACGGACTCCGAGTAGGGCCAGTGTTTTAAGTGGCTTTGGCCCCAGAGGCATCTTACACAAAGTGGGTGCTCGATAAACGTTGGTCAAGTGGGCTGATTTATGAGACTGTCCTGGACTTTGGCTTTTAGGAACAAGAAATGTGCTTGTTTTGCAGACCCTTTTGCTGGTGAGTGCTCAGCTTTTAGATTAGATTTGCATTTAAGCTTAAATGATTGCAATGTATATGCATTTCTTATTTTTATTCAGTGTTTCTCCCAGATTTTATTGCTATAAAAGATCTTTAAAAATCAGAATTAAAACCAGTTAAAAAGAGCTGAGTGTTAGGAAAAAATAGCTTAAGTTATGGGATGACTTTTCTCTTATTCCTGGCTTTTCTGGAAAAGGTGCTTATAATTATGAGTTCTTTGCATATACCATTTTGTGACAGATTTCTGGTTCAGTCTCAAATGTGATATTTTACATCCAATTAGGACGAATGAGTTCCAATTGCTTCATGGTTTGGGTTCACGTAGTGTGCTGAATAATTACATCAGTACGCATAGCAGGATCATCTTGCATCTGTGGAGTGTGTTACCGCTTACAAATGCTTTCCCATGTATTGTCTCTGTTTCTGGGGAAAATTCTGTGACTTAAGCGAGGTTGGTATTTTTAATTTGTTCATGTTTCAGAGGAAGAAATTGAAGCTCAGGAGATTAAGGGGACTGTCTGAGGCCACACAGGTTCTTGCTGGCCCCTGAACCTGGGTCCATTGAGTTCACAACCAGTGTTTTTTCTCCTGTACGTCTCTGCTACCTCTCTGCTTCTTTTGGTCCTGGGCAGGGGGGTGGGGGCTGGGAGGGGGTCTACTGTGGCAGTTTACAAGTGGGAATTTTATTCAGAAGTAAAGCCTTACAGAAGAGATGAACATGGACTTATGATATTGGTGTTTTCATCCAAACATTACAAAATTTTAATTTTCAGAAAACAAATTCACTGTTGTGGAAGGAAGACATGCTCTTTATTTCTCATTCACTTTCAGCTTATTAAAGTTTTTCTTGCGTTTCTAGGGATTTTACAATCTGATTCCAAGAAATACACGGATAGAAAGCTAAAAGGAAAGCCAAGCACAAGCTTTAAACAGGAAGACTCAGGCAGTTGAAATAAAAGGGTGGAAAAAGATATGCAAGTACTAATCATAAGAAAACTAATTTGCTTATAGTAATATAAGAAAAAATAAACATTTAGAAAGAGAGTTTTACTAGAGACAGAGAGGGATGTTTCATAATGATAAAAGGTTCAATTCATTAAGTAGATATATCTTTCCTAAATGTATGTGCACTCAATAATACAGCTTCATAATACATGAAGCAAAAATTGACAGAAATGGAGAGAGGAAGAGACAAATTCATCATCACAGGCAGAAATTTTAGCACCTCTCCCTGGGTAATTGATAGAATAGGTAAATTAAAACATCAGCAAAGATGTGGAAGATATGAATCAGTAAAGATGTGAAAGATATCACTGTCAACCAACTGGATCTAGTTGATTTATCCACCACGTGTGGACATAGACCAACCGAAGAAAGCACATTCTTTTCAAGGACATGTGGCACATTCACAAGATAGACCATATGCTCTACCAAAACAAGTCATAATAAATATTGAAGGACTGAAACAACACTATATTCATCTGACCAAATGCTTTTAGAAATCAGTGTAGCAATAAGATAGATACCCAGGAAATCATCAAGTATATTGGAAATTTCTCAGCATACTTCAAAATAACTCATGGATCAAGGAAATCACAAGGAAAGTAAGAATCTATGTTGAATTGAATGATAATGACAACACATATGAAAATCTGTGCTGCTGGTGAAACAGTGCTTGGAGGGAAATTTATGTGTTTAAATGCCTACCTTAGAAAGGAATAAAGGCTTCAAATCGATAATCAAAGTTTCATCTTTTTTTTTAAAGATTTTATTTATTTTATTTAATAGAGAGAGAGAGAGAGAGAGAGAGAGACAGTGTGAGAGGGAACACAAGCAGGGTAGGTGGGAGAGGGAGAAGCAGGCTTCTGGTCGAGGAGGGAGCCTGATGCGGGGCTCGATCCCAGAACCCTGGGATCATGACCTGAGCTGAAGGCAGTCACTTAACCAACTGAGCCACCCAGGTGCCCCTCAAAGCTTCCTCTTTAAGAGGCTAGGAAAAGAGGAGGAAATTAAATAAAACCAAGTAAAAGAAGGGAAATAAAACAAGGGTGGAAATCAATAAATTGGAAAATGGATAAACAAGAGGAAGAATCAACAAAATCTGAAGTTAGTTTTTTGCAACGATCAATAAAACTTCTAGTTAGATTTGATCAATGGAAGGAAGAGAAGACACAAATTGCAGTATCAGAAGTGAAAGAGGAAACATCACTACAGACCCTACAAATATTAAGAAGATAATAAGGGCACATTATTTGCAACATTATGCAATAAATTCAAGAACTGACAAGAAATGGACATACTCCTCGAAACAGATGACCTAATAAAAGTGATACCAGAAGAAAGGGAAAACCTTACTATCCCTGTGTCAATTAAAAACAAAAAATTTGGGGGGGCGGAGCAAGATGGCAGAGGTGTAGGAGACCTGGATTTCGTCTGGTCTCAGGAATTCAGCTGAATAGGGATCAAACCATTCTGAACACCTACGAACTCGACAGGAGATTGAAGAAAAGAATAGCAACAACTCTGAACAGAAAAGCGACCACTTTCTGGAAGGTAGGACATGCGGAGAAGCGAATCCGAGGCGATATTCGGGAGGATAGACGGCGGGGGAGGGGGCCTCCGTGGGCCGCTTCTGGCAAGTGATAGAGCCGCGGAGCACAAAATCGGAACTTTTAGAAGTCGGCTCCGCTGAGGGCCATCGCTCCAGTGTTTAAGCGGGGGTGGAACCCTCATGGGACAGTGTGGTCTCAGGACCCTCGGGGTCACAGAAAGACCGGGGGTGCCTGAGTGCGGCAGAGCTCCCAGGTATCGGAGCAGGTAAGCTGGCTGCAGAGACGGAGCCGAGGTGTGGGCTCTCAGCTTGGGGTTGCCATAAACTGTGATCGGTGACAGCCGGGCCACTGCTCCTCCAGCAGGGACCCAACAAGTGGCAGAGCCGGGGAGACTCCCCTTCCTCCCCCGGGAGGAGCGGCGCGGGAGCGCACCGCAGGGATCTGCTGGGTTTGGAGACTGCACGCAGGGTCGGGTGCCAGAGATACTGGCACTCGGTCACAGGCCGGGTGAGCACGGAGTGCAGCCGGAGACCGGGGAGCCGGGAGTGACTGACTGCTTTTCTCTGGGGGCGCACTGAGGAGCGGAGCCCTGAGTTCTCGGCTCCTCTGGGGCCGAGATTGGGAAGCCACCATTTCACTCTCGTCCTCCAAAGCTGTACAGAAAGCTTTCAGGGAACAAAAGCTCCCAAGAGCAAACCTGAGCAGACTGCTTAGTCCGGACCGGGAAGGGCGGGGCAATTTCGCCTCCCGCAAAGACATTTGGGAACCACGGCAACAGGCCCCTCCCCCAGAAGATTAGCACGAACAGCCAGCCAAGACCAAGTTTACCGATCAATGAGAATGGGAGAACTCCAGCACTAGGGGAATACTGCACATAGAATTCATGGCTTTTTTACCATGAACCATGAATCATTAGTTTTTCAAAGTTAATTTTTTTAACTGTTTTTTTTTTGAATTTTTCTTTTTCCCTTTTTCAACCAACATCTTATCAATCCCTTTTTTGAAAAACATTTTTATTTTTCATTTTTAGAGTCATATTCTATCCCTTCATAGTAGTTACCCTTATTTTTGGCATATATATATAAGTTGTTCTCTCTTTAAAGTTTTGAGATACAGTTCCTTCTAACATATCAAAATATACTGTAAATCTCTAGTGTATGGCTTTGTTCTAGTCTCCTGCCTGATCACACTCTCTCCCCTTTTCTTTTCTTTCTTTCTTTCTTTCTTTCTTTCTTTCTTTCTTTCTTTCTTTCTTTCTT